GGTGTGACCTTGGGCCAGTCACAAGTTCTCTCAGAGCTGTTCTCTCACGAGCAGTTCTCAAAAGAGCTCTCTCAGCCCCACCTACCTCACAGGGTGTCTGTTGTGGGGAGCAGAAGCCACTGAGATTCCTTTGGGTAGTGAAGGATGGGGTATAAATCCAATCTCTTCTTCTTCCTTCCCCCTTGCAAAAAATCTGCTTAGTCTTTCCTCAAAGAAATTCCAAGAATGCTCTGAACTGCTTGGGTTGCATTTGGCAACAACCCTGGAGCAGTGTTTTACTTTCATAATGCACTGTGCTATGATCTTGTTTTGTACCATAGGCTCGAACAGGCCTGTTTCTTTACCCCCATGCCAACCATTCTGTATGGAGACCAGTTTTAAAATGATGTTAACAGCTCATCTGTGGAACTTTGTGGTACAACAGTGTCTCACATTTAATCATTTCTGTAATCTGTGCTAAGAAGTTACACGTGTTGTTTTTCTATACTAAAGCCACTGCTTGGCCACCCAATGAGAGGGGAGCACTCACTGGAGAAGACCCTGATGCTGGGAAAGACTGAAGGTCAAAGAAGAAGGGGACAGTAAAGGTGAGATGGTTAGATGGTGTCATCGATGCAACGAACATGAAATTAAGCAAACTCTGGAGCACAACAGAAGACAGGAGGGCCTGGCGTGATGTGGTCCATGGGGTTGCAAAGAGTCGGACTCGACTGTGCGACTGAACAACAACAACAACAAAGCCACTGCAGTTACTGTGCATTTGTTTCACGATTACAACTGAAAACAACTGTGTTGTATCGAGGAGGGGGAGTTAAAAATTATTCTGCTCTGGGTGTCAAATGTGCCAGGTACGCCCCTGGAACTGAGAGTACCACTCTGCATTCTGCATGAAGCTGCCTTATGCTAAATAGGACTTGAGTAGCTCGATATTGGCCTACTCTGCCTGGCAGCTCATTACTTTGAGGCTTCAGACAGAGAAGGGTGTTTCCTAATCCCTGCTGCCTCTGCTTTTTAGCTGGAGAGACCAAGGACTGAACCAGGGACCTTCTGTGTCTAAAGCAGGGGTCCTGCCATGGAGTTGCCTTGCCCTGGACGTGCCAGGTTAGCCCAGTCTTGTCAGATCTCAGAAGCTAAGCAGGAGACCACCAAGGAAGTCCAGGGTAGCTACGCAGAGGCAGGCAATGGCAAACCACCTCTGTTTGTCCCTTGCCTTGGAAACCCTACAGGGTAGCCATAAGTCAGCTGTGTCTTGACACCACTTTCCACCACCACCACCGCCCCCGAGATCGAGGAACTTGCCCCATTGGCCCCCCCTTAAGTCTGGTTCTGAACATCAGAGAAATCCAAAGCCACAACCCACCTGCAGCTCTCCAACTATCAGATCGAGGCAGGGCATGAAAAATTGGGACCTGCCATTAGCAGAAACAATCAGTTCCAACTCAGTGTTTTAGTCTGGCTTCTCCCTTTAAGGATGGGTGTTGCTTTATTTCTCTCATATTGCTATCAGTATTTTTTTCCCCACTTAACGACTCAACAAGGAAAAAAAAACCCTGCTATGATTACACTAGTGATAACACATCGACTCCCACTTGAGGGACCAGTCTTTATTCTTCCATAAGTCACTTCTCACTTACAGCTCTATTGATCACAGGTGAGGATGAATGGGATATGCTCATGATCCTCTGGGACGAATCCTACATAACATATATGCTTTTATTTCCAACACACAACTATTTCTAAAACTCAACAAAACAGGTCACCAGGGCAGCACTCCATTGATTTCATGTCCACTTATTCTTCTCTTGCAGTGCTGAATGCTTTATTTATAATTCAGGAGGCTGCAGACCTGCTACACCCCCAAGGGAAGCACTAACCTATCTCACACGCCGTAGAAGGGAAAGTGCTTCAACTGTTCCTGGGAAGCGGGGTCAACAAGTTTGTACCTCTACAGGCCTGCATAAATAGCACCATGATGATGTGCAAACACAAGAGACAGGGTAGCTTTGAGATTCAAACCATCAACCTCAGCATTCAGTGGGACCCTTCAAGTAAACCAATATCTGTGGGCCACACCCATGAAGCTGCCAGACTGTTGGTCTACCAAGATCAATATTGTCTACTCTGACTAGCAGCAGGTCTCCAGAGTTTCAGGTAGAGGTCTCCCAAACCACTCTTTTAACTGGAGATGCCAGGGATTGAGCCTGGAATCCTCAGCATGCAAAGCAGATGTTCTACCACTCACTCATCCCCACTCCCACAGGTCCCTTTTAGCTGAAGATAGCCATCAACAGCCAGTGCAGTACAGTTATCAGTCTGCTGAACTAGGACTGGGAAGATCCAGATTAAGTGGTGTCATTAGGTAATTTTAGACTGTGGACTTCAAACCCAAATCTTCAAAAGGGAATTAGATAAGCATATGGAGCAGAGGTCCATCAGTGGCTATTAGCCACAAGGTATAGATAGGGACTCTGGGGCAAGTGATGCTCTGTCTTCTTGGTGCCTGGGGGGGGGTCAACAGTGGGAGGGCTTCTAATGTCCTGGCCCCACTGGTGGACCTCCTGATGGCCCTGCTATTTCTGGCCACTGTGTGATACAGAGTGTTGGACTGGATGGGCCTTTGGCCTGATCCAACATTGGCATCTCTTATGTTCTTATGTTCTTATTACTTAATGGCCCCTTTGGATGGCAATGTATGCTTTATTATTTATTTATTTATTTATTTGATTCATACCCCACCATCCCTGCTGAAGCAGGCTCCAGAGTCAGTGCAATAACAGACAATATTGACAGACCTCTATTAAGATTCCGACACAATATCCTGGGAACACCTCAGTGTCTGTCTGGAATAGCCCTGGGAGCCGAAGTTGGGGAGATGTCTTATGAAGCAAAGGCCTGGGGAAGAGCATTCAATTTGAAATTTAGGGCTCTAAAATCAAACCCAAATCTAAACCTCCTCAGACTAGTTAAGCTAGACTGCCACACAAGTGATTGGGACAGATTTTGTTGTTGTTCAGTCGCACAGTCGAGTCCGACTCTTCGCGACCCCATGGATCATCTCCCACCAGGCCCTCCTGTCTTCCGCCGTCCTCTGAAGTTGGCTCAATTTCATGTTCGTTGCATCAATGACACTGTCTAACCATCTCATCTTTTGCCGCCCCCATCTTCTTTGACCTTCAATCTTTCCCAGCATCAGGGTCTTCTCCAGTGAGTGCTCCCTTCTCATTTGGTGGCCAAAGTATTTGAGCTTCAGTTTCATTATCTGGCCTTCCAGGGAACAGTCAGAGTTGATTTCTTTTAGGACTGACTGATTTGATCTTTTTGCAGTCCAAGGGACTCTCAAGAGTCTTCTCCAGCACCATAGTTCAAAAGAATCTATTCTTCGGCGCTCAGTCTTCCTTATAGTCCAACTCTCACAGCCAGATATGACTACTGGGAATACCATTGCTTTGACCATGCAGACTTTTGTTGGCAGGGTGATGTCTCTACTTTTTATCATGCTGTTTAAGTTCGCCATCGTATCACAGAAGTCATGAGTAGACAAGAACTGTCACAGCTCATCAGAAGACATCTGAGAGGCTTTGACTATGAGAGCACATTGATTAGAGCCCGCAGAGTGTGCTCAGCCTTTTCAGTAGGCATTCAGCCTCCAACAACAATTCCAAACTACTTCTCTGAGATAATTCTTCCAAAGTATAGAAGGGCATTCACGCTAGCACACCTGAATGCCCTACCTTCAGCTGTGATGTCAGGAAGATTTAATGGGATTTCATACTCAGATCGACTTTGTAATTGTGGAAGCAGTAAAAATGACTCAGTGGATCATATTTTGCTTGATTGTCCCAAATTTTCAGCTCTAAGAGATGAACTGATCTCCCCTTTATTTAATCAGGACTTCCTCTCCCAGAAGCAAAATCACCCTGGTTACTTACAGACAAAGACAAACAAACTACTCTGCACGTGGCAAAATTTCTAGCAGCTATTGTCAAATCACATGACAACTTTTGCAGTAGCGGCTTTTAAATTCTTCCATGTTTTTCTGTGGAATGAGGTTTATTGTGGGATGAGGGCTTGCTGCTTATGACTCTGGCTGCACAAGCAGTACAGACAACTTACTAAAGAACTGAGAAGTTGCACTGTAACCTGTGAGATGGTATCTGGACTTCTTGTCTTGAAATTCAGCCCTGATGACACCACAGTGTGTAAAGTGCCATCGAGTTCTAGCCCACTTATGGTGATTCCACATGGGGTTTTCAAGGCAAGAGACCAACAGAGGCGCTTTGCCATTTCCTGCCTCTGTGTAGCAACCCTGGACTTCTATGGTGGTCTCCCCAACCAAGTACTAACAAAGGCTGACAGGTTTAGCTTCCAAGATCTGATGAGATCAGTCTAGCCTGCCCCACTCCAGGTCTGTGAGATGACACACTGCTCAGGTTCACATCCCTGCTCAGACATGAAACTCGCCAAAGGACTTTGGGTCCCTCACTCCACTAGTTTCACAAGACCGTTGAATACAATGGGAGAGCGGAGAGTCATGTACTTTGCCCTGAGCTCCTGAGAGGTAGGGGGAAATCTAGTAAATGGGCAGTCGATGTATTTTCTTTATACAGTAAGATACTGGCATCCGGGAAGAGGAAGGGAAGGAGACTGTAAGCCACCCTGAGACTTTTCCCCAACCTTTCCCCCCAGTTTTTCTGAAATGGAGAAAATTGGAGAATTTTTGAGAAAAACTGAGAAATGAGCGGGGAGGAGGAAAGGTTTTTTCCTGTTGTTTTCTAGGTTCTACCCTCCCTCCTCCCACCATCCTTCATATTTCTAGGCAGAGAAATATGCAATGCCAGGACATGGACAATTTTTACTTGCCATAAATGGAGAACAGATCGCAACACAGAACTACCAGTTCCTGCAGCAGCCATGTGTTTATCTTTTCAGGAACTGATCCTACCCTTCACTGGCCATTCTTTTGACCATTCCATGCCACCTGCTTCCACACTCAAACTTACAGTTCCGTAAGTCTCAAGGTCTTGAAGAGGAGCCACGACAGCGTAGTCAGCCGGTTCCCAGAGAGGTTTCTGAAAATGAAGAAGAAAATGCATTTGCAATCAATCATTCTGCTAGCATTATAGGTTTCTCACTTTAGCTCAGTCCTTAATCTCTCTACACAAGACAGGATAATTCTCTTTGAGTCCAGCTGAACTAGGAACATTTCTAAAAGTTCAGTGTGTATAGTTTGTTGACATGCTGAAACCCTATGAATCAAATGCAGCTTTCCTTCCTCATTGCAGGTGTGCATTGATAACATACAGACAAGTAGCAGTCCTGATGTAACTAACATGTATAATTGCATCCAGGTTATTTTTGTGCAGTGTTTTACAGATGTGCATGTGCTTCCTGCACATAGTTAAAACACTGCAGATTTAAAAACAATCTTGATACCATTCTGTATAGACTTAATTGCTTTTTTCACAATGTTTTATCAACATATGATCGTTTATTGGTAACACTGTGGAGAAGAAAAGGCAAGAGAGAATTCAAGAAACGGAAAGAGGTGGCAAACTGTGCGTGCCCCATGCAGACTCTGTACAATTACAAAACAAGACTGCAGAATGCCTACGGCATCAGTTCCACTCCAGAAAGAAGACTAGACAATTCAGAACTCCAGAAACTCTGAAGATGAGGATTTTAAAAGCCTTCCAACTAAGGAGGAAATACCCTATTCACCAAGAATCCAGTCCTAAGCCAAAGCAGAATGTGAGTAAATAAACAGGTTTATTTATTGATGCCCTGCCTTTCCCCTCAACAGGGACCCAAAGTGGCTTACATCATTCTCCTCTCCTCCACTTTGTCCTCACAACAGCCCTGTGAGGTAGGTAAGAATGTATGACTGACCCAAGGTCACCTAGCAACCTTTCAGAACAGAGCAGGAATTTGGACCAGGGTCTCCCAGACCATACACCATACCAACACCATTACAGTGACCAAGCATTCCATATACTTCCCCAAGAAGAGCTAGGTTCTGCAATCTATAATCAAATCAGACAGATTTTCACTGTTTTATTTTTTCCCTTTCATTTATCCCACACTTAACATTTCATGTAACTTAAATCGATATGAATGAGACAAATCATTTAATACATGGCCAGGGTCCAGCATACCTGAGGGACCACCTTTCCCCACACAGGCCTCAAAGAGCACTTTGGTCGGGGTCACAACACCGCCTAGTGACCCCAGGCCCTAAGGAGGCCAGTCTTGCGGCCACAAGGGCTAGGTCCTTTTCGGTGGCGGCTCCTACCTGGTGGAATGAGCTCCCGGAGATCAGGGCCCTGCGGGACCTGGTACAGTTCCGCAGGGCCTGCAAGATGGAGCTCTTCCGCCAGGCTTTTGAGTAGGAGCCGCCACCGCCACTACCACCACCATGTGACTGCAGAGCAGTTCCGCCGCATCGGGCTGAATGGCCAGCTGAAATATTGTGGCCCATGGCATCCCCCCCCCCTTTTGACCCCATTGGGATATGCAATAGGGAGTAAAGTATTGTAGTCATTATGTATCCTGTGAGATGTGCGTTTTTGCCTAAACTGTTTTAACTGTTGACTTTTACTGCACTTGTGCCTTAATTGTTTTAACTTGTTGTATTTTTATCGCACTTTTGTGCCTGTGTAAGCCGCCCTGAGCCTGCGTGCGGGGAGGGCGGGGTATAAATGAAATGAAATAAATAAATACATACAATGATCTGGGGGGGGGGGGAAGCCTAGAA